CTTACGTCGAAAGAAGGGGTCACAGCACATGCATGGGTCGTTTGATTGGTCGTAGTTGCATGTAAAGTGTTTCATCATAGCAGCGAAAAGAATCAACCAAAGCAGGCCTCACATACGCAAAGGGTTGTCCATCCTTCCCTGTCAGGACGGTATGTCGATCTACAAATCGTAAAATTAGCCATTAAAAGCGGACTACGGCTCTATCTATGCAAACCTCCTGTAACATAGACATGAATTCCATTAAGAAAATGCTCTCGACCCAGTGTCTTGCAATTTCTTGGGCACGAATAATGCCATAGCCATCAATCTGCTCGGAAAACCGAATTTGATATTTCGACAATTTTACTCCTTTTTATAACATCAATTTATCACATCCCAAGCATGTAGCGAGATCCGGAAAGGACCATGTCAAGTTCTACGACTTTTAAGCCAGCCTCCTTAAAGGGCTGGGCCGTCGACGCCGGTCCACAAACACTCATAGTACTGACGCTTAGAAGAGAACATCTACAATATTTGGCTTTGTATTCCTGGATAAGAAGCCTCACAATTAAGTACGGGACGTGAGATTTCTAGGGTAGACCAAATCAGAAAGATGTAAATTTTGCGACGGCTTAGCTTTCGAAATTGATCGAAGTAGAGACTCCTATTTGCCGCATATTTCTTCAAGTGATCAACGATTTAATTTTAAAAATCATGTGAAATCCCATCATTGCTATACGTGTGGGACGAAGTGGCGATCACAAGCGTTTTTTCACCTTGACTGTTCACGATGTCCAGACGACCGACTATCGGTAAAGACCCTTTTTCCGTGTAGAACGCTTATTTATTCACCTTGTGCACCCGTTGGCAGGGCGAGATGCACTCTTTTAGGTGGAATTGTGTCGAGGGACACTTAACCGTGTTTGTGATAGGAGGATGGGATAGTGTAAGAATTTTTACACGACCACGGGTGTTCTTGTTAGGTGATCGATATGACTCGCCCTGACCTCGGCAAGATCGTCTTTTTCGAGAAGAAGAAACTTAATCCACCTGACCTTCTACTCACTATAGCCGTCCCGCGATCTTGTATCTTTTCCACTACGTGTTGCTGCTTCCGATCGCAGTTAAACGTTTTCTGTATAGTACTTGATCCTGGCTTAATACTATAGGTTTATCAGTTGATTAAAGTATGCGAGTCAACCTGACGTCGGGTGGCCAGTAATATAAGCCGAAAGATAGGTCGGTACATGTACCTAAAAGCAAATTAAAATTTGTGTGATGTTTGACTAGTCAAACGAAATCTACCACAATAGATACCAGGGGCTTCATTCATACAGTTACCCACTCGCAAGACTTGGCCCACTTCATGTACTCCTATACTCGCTGTTGCGTCGCGAGGTGTGGCACAACCCCACCTGATCCCGATCGAGTTTCTCATTTTAATTTTGCGCCAGATCGCGATATATATTAAGATCGTGATTGGGAGGTACACATCTACTCAATTGCAATCGCGTCGTGCGGTAAACCCGTACCAGATTGCGATCGCACCATAGAAAGTTTTTGCCCTCGTTATAATGATTGTGTACCTTCTTGCGGACGCTTCCGTGCTCATGATCGCGTACCTGATCGTAATAGTCTCCGTGATTGCGTATGGCTTAGAATGCTGATTGTCCTCATTTTCATCGTTTGTTGACTGGGGAAAGAAAGTCTATTTCCGTCGGCTATTTTCGCGCGTTGCAACACCTCAAAGAGACAATTGCAGACGTATTTACTCATTGTTTTCAGACCTGCACTCAGCCTAAACACGATCGGTCCTACTGTCCTATGTTGATCGAGCACTTACCTCTACGTTTCCCAAAGTCTAGTTCCTTTAGCTCGTCACCGCCGGGGTAATAACAGTTTGAGCAGTTTGCGGGTGGAATGCCATCGTTGAAGTCCAGCCAATATGTTACAACGCGCGTGGGCGCCTAATGCGCGCTTAAGTGGACACGTGTCCCAATAGCCATAGCCGCGGCTATATCGCATGCCGTTTGAAATGACTTGTGTCACCCCGCACTCTTTTTCATTATCAAAATGAGTCAGCAATGCACTCTCACAAAGGAGGAGCCAGTCATGAAACTGTTGCACCTTCGTCGTCTACGCAATCAATGAACCGGCTCACTTCCGTCATGTATGAACAAGAAAATTGCAAATAGACGATTTAAAGGAACTCAAATTCCGCCGCTTCGCCATACTACCTTGTCAAGCATGGGCAAAACTGAACAATGCTACGCTAAAAACCACCGAATCCATAATATCACCAAGCAATTTGTCCCCTTTCAAGTTAATCTCCGTTCAACGTAAATGCCAGACTTTGTCGCATTACTAAGACATGAAATATTCGGAAGCTTGGCGAGGGCCGTATGAATTCCTTTAACTAAATTCTATGCTACATTAGGCCTCATCCTGACACGTAGTATGTCAATTATCACACGGTGTGCATCAGTTGTTTTACTTCCGTCGTCATTATGGTCGACCTTGGCCCCTGATGTAAAGGAGATGTTTGTCATCAGACCTCCTTGGCTTTGCATTGGCGGACTTGTCCAACCGCTGAATCTCTATATTAAAAAATAAAAAGCGTATAGCCACGGGATATCGAGGGTGCTTGTCTTACGTTTGACAAGGCGTGATGTAAGCCGGACCCGACTCGTGAGACCTCAATACGATGTCACTTATGTAAAAATCTTGCAAAGATACAGATCTACCTATTGCCACTGCTGTCGCCGACATAGCCATCAGTTCAATATACATACACGGCACTGCTATACCAGACTGTATTTTATTATTGCAACCATCGGTGAGGGGTCAGGGTCGCGATTACTAGCCGTTACGTGTCGAGATCGGTAAAGCCGTACTGCTCCCGCTATAGCAGGTGCAGCGTCTTCCTACGCATGCTTGTATTATCACTTAGGGCTACTTGATTATTCTATCTGCTAAGTCGCACCCAACCGACCTTGAAACTATAACTTCCCGTAGAATTTCTACGATCAACTTAGACACCTCAACATTTAAATAAACAGGCATTTTTTTACGTTGACATCTCGTTGTACACAACACACAAATCTCTTCATATGTAAGCTCGCCTCTGTTGGAGCGATGGTACACAGATTATAATCAGAGGTGTACTTGCGGCTCAACGAACCTATTAGTTTGCTGATCTAGACTACGGACTTTAGTTTGAAGCGATTAAAGCGAACATAATGAACGACTAAAAAGTTTATTTTAGCTCAGGTAAAATTTCGAATATATATGCTAGGTAGTCTTTTATGTCACAAAGCAGATGACTTTTATAACATCGATGCCTAAGATCCCTAGTTACGCTCAAACCAGTTTTGCTTTCTTCTGCTCAAAACATATACTGATTAAATTAAATTTAAATAGTAATAAACTTTTCTTGTACTGCAATGTAAGTTTTACATTCTACCAGCGAACATGTTTGTGATCATCTCTCTGTGTGGCTGACACGTGTCAGCTTTGACTGAGCGAGTATCGTACTGCACCGATTATGTGCCTGGTCCACCACAGGGTAAAAGTACAAGCTCTCTTATGTAGCCCAGTTACTGTAATTTACTAACCAAGCGTGCAACCACAACATGTATTTCTTGTCATCAACGTAAAAAGCGTTACTTTGGTCAATCCAATGGTAGAAACCCCAGTTACTGTTGCACCTGACGTGCTAAAACTACGTGTAAGAAAAGAGAGACGATGGCTTTTTACGCCTGTGCGACAAAATTAACACAGTGTGGTCGATGGCATGAGTAACGGGGCAACGACGACTACGTACTAGTATATCAGCAGGGATTTAACTATCACTGACAACAGTGAAGGTCAATGCCCAGATAGGTGTCGGTACTACACAGAGGAAGGGAAAGGACTAGGGTAAAGACTAGTCGTGGTAAAGTGAAAGTGTTATTTACAACAATTAAGCCCTATAATTCCCATTCTCTGTATGTATTGATTAATCATATTGACATAACAAAAGGTATGATGAAGTCTTCTCACCACCCGTTATTGCGTAAATCTAGCAGCGATTGGAGGAGGATATAATCCTTATAGAATAATTAATAAAACCACACGATAGACTTAGTAATAAATTAGTATTTTCTATAAAATTAATAATAAAAAGTAATATCATCACAATATCAACCAATGAGTAGACTCTTCGGTCATCCCAACAATATCACTATACTCAGGGATATTGGTATAGTAATATTTAGCGTGTTATTCTTTATTTCCATATCTTTTTGAAGAAATTTCGTGTAACCGCCTACCCCGTTTCAGCATGATACTAACTGAGAAGAAGGCAACAGCTTGTTACTTCTCTCTTTACCGCTGGGCGAGGATGTGCTGTAATGCCAAAGGTGCGGAAGGCTATGCTACATCAAGCGCCGAGAATTTTTAAGCGCCGAGAATTTGTTCGTCTGCGCTATCGTGTGAGCTCTTGAGCTACACGACTCTTGAGCGGTCGATCAAAATTTGTGCCTAACCAATGAGTGGCACGAACATGTATATAGATGCACATTATAGAAGCACCTACTCGATCGAACCTTGCATGACGTGTAGTATAATCCGCGCGCGAGCACACAGACGTGGACACAAGTCAATGCACGCACGGACAGTAAGGAGATGTGGAGAAGTATAGCAATCACAGCACGCAAACACTCGAACGGTTTCATGACTTTGCCGTTATGATCTTAATACAAAAGCATGATGTTGTTTTATTGATCTTCAACATCAAGGGCATGTCGCGTCTTTCGACTGCTTGCCAATGATGTAACGAGCGCAAACTAGAATGAAAGATAAGGAGACGACGACAACTACAAGTCCAGCAGATGACACGTCGCTTGGCTGGCCAATGCCAGGTGTACATATTGTGCTGTGCATGTACACGACCATGGCAAGCGAATATATTACGTAGGCTGATATTGACTAAGCTACCAGGCGAGTTTATCTACGGTCGCGCTGAGCGGCAAAAATATAAGTCACCGTATAGCTGTCAAAAACTGGTTGTACTCCTCCTGAAACTTGCCGCGTGAATTCTTCTCAAAACCATCGTAGGCATCGCTAAACTTATTCCACCCAGTTTCAGGCGCACCACCATAAGGCGTCCCATGCAGCTTCCATTCCCAGAAGACTTGTTGCTCAACGTACTCATATTCCGCTTTCACTCCTTGAGCACCTAGCCATTCCGACACATGATTTCCAACCGTCTCCCTTGACTCACTACCCCCTCGTAAGAGGAACAGTTCATCAGCAAGAGTCGTGGTGGTTCTGAGGTCGAACTTGTTTTGCAGGATGACGTACTTGTTCAACAGCGGTAGGAGCGCCGTATCAAACAACTCACCATCATATTGTTGTAGCTTCAGCCTTTCGAAAGCATAGTGGGGAGCCATACCCATCGCAACAAATACTCCCAGCTTTAGGTCCACTAGCTCGACGGCTCGCGCGCGGTCGGTTTCAGAATCAAATGCAGCGCGTACCTCAGATAGAAAGGCGTCTTGTCCTCCATACCGCTCCATCACGCCGCTAAGGTACTCCGCATCACCCCTTATGCTATACTTCGAACGACAAAACGACCTTACGACGTCGTGGCAGAGACGATCATAGTAAGTGAAACCAGTGATGAAATGCTGCTCGTTGAGTACCTCGAAGATTTTATCGAGTGTCATTCGATTCCCACTCCACCTTTTCCTCAAATAGACCATGGCCGTGTCCCCCTCAGATCTTAGTTCGGCATGGGTGGACCTTCTCAGCAGAGCGATTAATACAGCCAAACGTTGATCCGGGGGCGTACGAAGCAAGTCGTCGAGCAGTAACTGGTTGCCCTTCGCGAGAAGAGTTGTCACTTTCGCATACTCTGGACTCTCTTTCGCGATCGAGGATCCACGCCGCAAATCGATCATCGTCCAAAGCTCTTTAAAATGAACAACGAATTGGTCATTGTCTCGATCCGCTAGGAGAGGTTTTGCGAGATTTTCCGTGTGAGAACTCACGCGCTGTACGTCCAACGTACGTGCGACAAATCTAGCCAGCCATTCGAACGCTCTCTCCTCTCCGGTGCTTGTGTCGTTGATGATAAGCAACTTGTCGGAAGGGATTCTGTCTTGGCCTGTGAATGTTGTGTGGACGACATCAGAGCCATATAGGCCCCTGGTCTCATGACTCGCAGTCTTTACGGTGCCTTCGGCACGTATCTGGAGCGCGGATGAAGCCATGAGTGCGAAAGAAAAGACACGCATTGCAAGAGAGGACTTGGTCTGGAGCGATACAAAACCGAAATGACTGATGACTGAAGCCACTAGATCGACTAGTTCGTTCGGGGCATCCGCCGTAGGAAAGCCGTGGCATGGGAAAATCAAGTTCGACACGCTGTATAAAAAATCAGTTTGTCCTGCTTGCTGCTTAAGAGACAGAACTCTGCTCAAGATACCTTGACCTGACACGCTACGAAGAGCGCATTTAGCCCGTGGCATCCACCCATTCATCCTTACTCTTTCGCAAAGCTGTGCCGATAAGCTTTTCCCGAATAGCAGATTCATTTGCACTTGCTGATGCGTCCAGCGTCTAACAAATCGCCTTGCACATAAAAGGCCGATAGGTCTCATGTGCCGGCTCTATGGATGTTGATACGCCGTCGGATGAAGGGTGAAGGAGGTGGTCGACCTGCAAAATCTTGGGCGATAACAAATAAGATGTGCAGTCGCACGCAGCGACGGGGCCATGAGAGAGAAGCTGGACGTCGACTAAGTGCTCACAACGATACGGTATCGGTGTGCTTTTTCTTTAGACTACTTCATTCTCCTCATCGATCACTCCATATGCTGGCTCGAGAGGGCTGGCGTCATGGGGTACACTCCGCATAGGTCACGTGGCATCAAGTGTCCCGTCCAGTGTGCAGACAGGGCGCTGAAGTCGCGGAATACGCAGGCAACTTTCCTGATCACCCCCGATGGGCCGAGGACGCACGTGGACGGGTCGCTTTCTAGGCAAGTTCCCATCGTGCGATCGGGAATCACGCCCGGCGACCAGGCCGGCGACCTGAAGGCAGACATAGAATAGCAGGAATTGGGTGGGTGTGGCAACTGCTGTTTTGCTGTGTCGCTCACCCTTGGGCGTTTGATCGGGGTAAACCCCTTTTTGTTTGCGTGCTGCGCTGCCTCTTGTTGCAACACAGCGGCAAGAAGGCCTCTTCTCTTTTGACCTTGGTCTCGCTGAGGGCGGACTTCCCGTCCAAGAAAATGGGGCTACAGTACTGGCTGGCTGTAAGGAGGGCCTCGTCTCTGTCCGTTGTTGCTACACGAGCCCGAATTGGGACGTATTTAGCCAACTGAGGAGGTGGCAACGTGTGGCGATGACAGCGGGATGTATGGCTGCACGGGATCGCGGGCCGTTCAGGCTCGTGGCCTGCCGCATCGATCCACATCAGAGTACAGAGCACGATACCAATTTGATCACAGAACGCCTTACTTGGCCACACTACAATATCCGTCAAGGTGGCAGTCGTCAACTAGACCAGAAGCACTTGTACTTCAATGATCTTTTTGGATGGGACCGATCAGCATGGCGTGGGTCAGAAGCAGGCTGAAATGCCGGTGTTGGGTAAATTCAGCGTGTATCGCGCTCGGAGCCGCCTTGCACATAAAAGGTTGATGGAATTCATGTGCCGGCTATGTATGTTGGTACGCCGTCCGATGAATGGAAGGAGGTGGTCGGCCTGCAAAAGCTCGAACGAATACAAGCGCGACGTGCAGTCGCACGCGACGACCAGACAACAGGCGAGGTGACAACGTGCGTGGCGATGACAAGCGGGAGCCTAAGACGAGTACAAGCATCAACTGTGCGATGTGGTCGATTTCGTCGCCGACGAAGCAGCAGCGGACGGTACGTTCTAACCTGCTGACTTCGAATCAGGAAGGTGTGGTAGGAGCACAACAGAAGGCGGTTGGGTGGAAACGTGTATGTTTCGCATAACACGAGCGGCAAAGGCAAGCAGACAGTAAAGCTCGAATCTCGACGACGAACAAGTTGTCGCTTCTACGGATGAACAAACGTAGCTGTTTGATCGTAGGGCCTGTGCGTTTTGTAGAAACGTTTAAATGCAACGAGCTATGATTATACAAAGCACAGGTACAAAAGAGCTAAGACGAGGAGACATTGTTGTCGTCTAGCACCAATGCGACGGACAGGGTAGACTGGACAGCTGGGACATAAAGGCCACGACAATTCAAGTTGGGACGAACGATGATGGGGCAGATGGTGAGAAGGAGTGGAAATACAGAAGGAGGGACGAAAGAAACGAGGCGCAAGCGTCGACAAGGGTAGAGGCTATATACACCTAGCATTATTGCTAAAACACCGCCGCCTATCCATTAGAATCAATGTTTATATGGCAACCGTTGTATCACATTTAGGCCACGTCACTTCGAAAATTACAGGATAAGCTAAGTAGAACGGCACCTGTAACGGAGCCAGGCCACGCTAAGTTCAATAAATTACAGAAGTAGGTAATCAAAATGCACCCGCGCTTAGCACTGCAACCGTATATTTAATATGCTGGTCCTTCATTCGCTGCAGCGAAGCTTCCGGGTGTAATTTTCAACCAAGTTTATTTCTCTTTGCCTTTTGAACGATAATGTGGACATTCTTGGCATTCAGATGGACACACGCCACCTTAAACTGATTTACAATAACCTATATTAATCACATACAGACTAAAACAGATAATGTACAACGGGGTAGCCCATTACATGAAATTGTCATTAAAACAATCTGACAATAAAGAATCTTACGTCGAATATTCTTTGAACAATATCACAGTCATGTCTGTGATATTGTTAGGATGATCGAAGGGTCTACTCATTGGTGTATATCGTGATGATATCAACCCACCAATCGCTGCTAGACGCGCGCAATGGGTGGTGAGTAGACGATATCATACATATAGTTATATTAGTATAATTTAGTCAGGATAACATAAGATTCAAGGAGCTATAGGACTTAATTGTAGTAATACAGTTTTGCTTTTACCAAGAGACTAGTCTGACTACTTAGTCTCCTTTCCTTCCTCTGTGTTCCTTAAACACCTGGCAGGGCTCTGTCGACCACTGTCGTCAGTGGAAGTATACTCCGTACTGGTCAACCAGTACGTAGTCAACAGTGCCCCGTTACATAATGGCCTGCTGTATATGACTTCGACACGCACACATACCCTTGAAGCAGGTCCATCCTGATGCATCTGGGCGACCGTAAAATTGCTATCGTCAATGTATAGCGTCGCACGTCGCGCCGCCGGGGGCGTTAATAGCATGGTCTTGCTGATATAACGAGAGTGGCCGGTGTGCCAGTTGTCCACTAAAATCGTTGACCAGGCAATTTATTCGGGGCGTGCTTGTCATACATGGTTACGAGCTCGCATAATCAGCCTCTCTTTTTTGTTTAGCGATCCTGCATTGACGTGTGCCGACTGTGGGATCTCCTATGATGTTTTTCCTGCCAACACGTGAGAAAACTGCGCTTGGGGCCAATCGAACATACGCGGGATACACTAATAGCAACGCCTCAGCGTACGGCGTCCTGCCTTAAAGCCTTTACAGCCGTTTTTTGACTGTCAAAAGGCCCGACTGGTGGAGATTCTTCACAGATACAAGAGAGAACAGCGGCGGCAGGATTAAGGCCAGCATCAATTTATATCTTAACCTATTTGTCAGCGACGACAGAATTAGTATCAGCATTAACAACTGTAGCAGTTGCAGCAGAAGTAGTGGATGTGGACAGAATTAGTATCAGTATGAATGACCGTAGTAGTGGCAGCAGACCCAGTGGATGTGGATGAAGTGCTCATCATCATGCGTTAGACAACAAGAATTTTCTTTTTGAATTGACGCGGCTATGTAACAGGTGCCTTTCTACTTCACTTATACCGTAATATTCAAATAGACGTGGCCCGAATGTGATACAACGGTTGTCGTAAAACTATAAGTCTAATGGATAGGGGCGCGGTGTCTTAAGCCATTATGTTAGGTGTATTCAGCCTCCCCCGTCGACAAGTAATGATTAAATTGACGCATTGGAGTTATGTTCCTTGTAAACTGCAAGTAAATCATTTCTTTCTTTTTGTAGCATCTTTCTGATTCGGACGAGCAAAAACAAGAATATCAGCCCCCTTCGCGCGGCATAGCTGGACAGCCGTCGCGAATGTCCTAGCACGTCGAAATTTCAAATGTCCACTCATGCTGTAACGAGGCAATGTTGACTACGTACTGGTTGACCAGTACGGAGTATACTTCTACTGACGACAGTGGTC